TCTACAGCTGTGCAAAATTTGACGCGGTCAGCCGCGTCGTTCGAAAAACATTTCGGAAAACCTTCTGGGAGATTAATTTGACCCCCGCCCGAGCGCGTGTTAAAATCAAATCCACACTCACACATCTAAGCACACGGTGCTAATTTGCGTCCACGCAAGACGACTCCCCCCGCCCTCAGTTCTCTTTCTTACTACCTTCCCTTCCTTGTAATTGTGACGTGCCAGGCGCGTGAACTCCACCCGTGACCCTGGCGCCCGTGGTTATCCCCACTCGACCCGTGGCAAGCCCATTCCATCTGGTTAATCCCCTTTAAACCGGCCATTACACGGCAGCGTTTTCGCACATAGCTCACACCTGACTAATTAGCAGGAAGAGGAACAGGGCGAGAAGAAATGGCCATAAGCGATGAAAACGGAGAGCAGAGTGAAGGTTTTCAATTGTTTATTGCTTTAATTGTTTCTCTCTCAATCACATGTTGGTGGTTTCAGTTGTCGAACGCAGCTTAGGTCCACCGAGAACGCCCGAGTGGGTTTGCCGCTTTTCCCCCTTCCCTCGGGAGAGTTAGAATCAGAGTACCGTTACCTCGGAGTGAGAGTTGCTTCCCCTCTCAAATGTGACGCTCCCGTAGGTTTTGTCACAAGCCCCCACCCGTTTCGCGGGTTCCGGTCATAGGCTTCGTTCCTTCTCATACATGCTCACTTGTAGTTCCGTCTTGCGTGCGCCACTTTTTTAGTCCGGAATTGGCTCAGGGCCTCGGATTGCGAGCGTTTGGCATGCCCGGGGATGATGCCTTGCCTGGATTTCTTCCTCTCATGGTGGTTCGTTTCGCGCTGATGGGCTCCGGCCTGCACTCTGAATCTGCCCACGGGGCTGGTGGTTGTTTTGTGTTGGGCTTCGCCCTGGTCTGCTCCTGTGGTCAGCATGGGCCCTTCTTGGCAGTCCTCCAGGGATCCTTTTCCCGCGCGGGGTGGCACGTAAGCGGTGTGGAACGCCGCTCCGCTTTGTGACCCGCTCCCAGGCTTTCCCAGGGATTCTCGTTACCAGCGATATTGTTCTGAACATGCTTTTGACACTGCGACGCCAGATGCAGTCTCGCCGGGCCATCAAAGCTGCACTTCCACCCAGACGTCTTGCTCCCTAACGATTGTGTTCTCGAAGGGTCCTGAGCTGCTCTTCTGGCAATGCCTGTGAGCGCCGACGCCTTGCCCGGTGTCCTGACCCCTCGCTGGTGGTAGAAATTGTAATACGGGGAACAGCAGTGCAAGCGAGATTAAAGAAATAATATACACATATGCGGAATTAGTCAAGACATGAGCTCCGCCTCACAGGAGCTCCAATGGTGACACGGCAGACCAGACAGCCGGGACCCGCTGTGGGAGCTCCAATGGTGACACGGCAGACCAGACAGCCGGGATCCGCTGTGGGAGCTCCGATGGCGACACGGCAGGCCAGACAGCCGGAACCCGGGATCAGACAGCCGGACAAAATAGCCGGAATCGCCGCGCAGGCTCTGATGGGGACGTGCAACCACTTCCGGTCCAGACGTTTCGATGGTGGTGCGGTTGCGACAGAGATGGCGCATACCTTGTCAGATAAGCTGTATAGCTGCGAGACGGATCGTGACGCCAAAGCAATTTAGACATGCCAAATTTTGCACCATCACACAGACCTTCCACACAAGAGCGATACAGACAGCACCATCTCCAGCCCGTACGGACTGCCGTCAGCGCTGGGACACGTGTCTCTCCCAAACGCCTGCGCCTCTGGTTGGTGCCTGCCAGCGCGTTTTCGCGCTGTCGCGTTTTCGTGACTCTGGACGGTTACCGAGAGATAATGACACTTTGTTTTCCGACACTGCGGGCGGTCACGGAACACGGGCAGCCATCGGCCCCGCCGATGGTTGTGATGTCTGCAAGTGGCGGTGCCCAGCCCCGCCAGCGCAAGTATGACACGGAATAAGCGCTGGGTGTTGATGGCCCACCGGCAGCACAATCACATTGCGTGCAGGTTGTCGCCGGTGTAGCGACGGTAAGGACCAAGAATGAGCGAGAGTCCGGACAAACAGACAACAAAATGAGCCCTTACCTTGGCAGGATTTTAGGTATTTATCAGCACGTCATCGAGTGCATTCCATCAAATGTCTTACTAGCGTCAGGAGTGACTCACCACCAAATGTCGTAATAGCGTTAGGAGTGACTCCCCATCAAATGTCTTACTAGCGTCAGGAGTGACTCACCACCAAATGTCTTAACAGCGTTACGAGTGACTCATCACCAAATGTCTTAATAGCGTTACGAGTGACTCACCATCAAATGTCTTACTAGCGTCAGGAGTGACTCACCATCAAATGTCTTACTAGCGTCAGGAGTGACTCATCACCAAATGTCTTACTAGCGTCAGGAATGACTCGCCATCAAATGTCTTACTAGCGTCAGGAGTGACTCACCATCAAATGTCTTACTAGCGTCAGGAGTGACTCACCATCAAATGTCTCACTAGCGTTAGGTGTGACTCACCATCAAATGTCTTACTAGCGTCGGGAGTGACTCACCATCAAATGTCTCACTAGCGTTAGGAGTGACTCACCATCAAATGCCTTACTAGCGTCAGGAGTGACTCACCATCAAATGTCTTACTAGCGTCAGGGGTGACTCACCATCAAATGTCTCACTAGCGTTAGGAGTGACTCACCATCAAATGCCTTACTAGCGTCAGGAGTGACTCACCATCAAATGCCTTACTAGCGTCAGGAGTGACTCACCATCAAATGTCTCACTAGCGTTAGGAGTGACTCGCCATCAAATGCCTTACTATCGTCAGGAGTGACTCACCATCAAATGCCTTACTAGCGTCAGGAGTGACTCACCATCAAATGTCTTACTAGCGTCAGGAGTGACTCACCTGCCTTTATCGGACTGTTCACGCTCGAATCTCCTGCCGAAGGGATGGACAAGGCTGCTCGGTGGGTCCAATACCATTTTGACATGAGCGTAGCACATATATTACTTTCCGCTGTAAGGGGAACCTTAATAGCTGCGTAGAGCTTTGCAAATCCTGCAGTGGCACGTACCGCGCGAACTTCCGGTAAGTTTGCTAACAAAGCTAATAACTGAACTATGCAACCATTGGGACGCATATCACGGCTCTGGACGGTACTTTGCCCGAAACGAACAACGAGGTGCTCAAGCTGGTTGACCTTGAAACATATAGTCATGTAATGTTGAGAGTAATGATCACCGCCTGAGCCGCGACGACTTGCTCCCTGAGCGAGTCTCAAAATAGCGCCATCATTGGCACGCCTGACAGGTTTTGACACCGTCCTTGCCAGGCAACGGCTTGCTCACAATATTTTTCCGTGTGATTCCCAACCGGTATACGTAATATGTAAATTGGACGCTTGTTAACTGTGGTTTCAAGTAGCTGGAGAGCTGCATAACGTGGTGCCTCCACAAGCGTGATGTTTTAGCGACCACATTTTCCCTTTCTCACGTGTCCCGCGCTCACTGGCAACGAAACCAAATCATGAACACTCTTGGCTCACCCTCGTCATCTTCCATCTACCCGCCCTAAACACTCTTGGCTCGTCCTCGTCGCCCCCCATGTACCCTCCCTAAATACTCTTGGCTCGTCCTCGTCGCCCTCCATCCACCTACCTGTCATGCGCACTCCTGGCTTGTCCTCCACCTACCTGTCTGTAGTGCAAATTCTCTGTTCCGCCTGTCCTCTGTATGACTTGTAAACGGGTTAGCAGCTTCCAAAAAGACGGCTAACAGATGCATCCTTCACCGGTCTCGCCCATCTTGTTTCTCACGAGTTACAACAGGACGTGAATTTATAATGGAGACATAAGTGTCATTTTTATCCCATTCTGTTTCGCGTTACGACAGCAGTGTCTCAAACAAACGACATACGATCCACGAGCCAGTGATGCCAAGAATCTCCCGGTGGTGTTTCCAACATGGAAAGCAGGTGATTGGAACAGCGCAAGTGTAACCGGTAGCACTATGAACAACAGGTTCGTCAAGTCTCGTGCGCATGCTCTTGGCAACGGACGCAATTGGCTGGGACACGCGCATGGCAATACCGCTCCGGGGATGCCACACGCACTCTTCCAAGTTCCAACGCTCGTTGTGTTACTGAGTTCCGTTGTCAAAACGTTAGGACGGACAAGGCTTCCATGGATTGTCCGGATGTTCCTGCATGCTGATCGGGTAATATTAACGCGAATCAGTTATAAGACCCAGGGCTTTGGGAAGGCTACCAGAACTAACGATAAACAGACTACCTCAGACTGAAGCGGGCCAAGGATAGCCGACGAGCCAACCACGTGTGGCCATCTTGTGGATGGCGATCAGTCCCGGGTGAAAGAGTACGAACGCCTGCGCCGCTCCCACCGCGCACTCCGTAACATGAACGCTTAAGCGAAAGCAATCCAGGGACCACAAGGCTCCAATCGTCGAGCGAATCGGCGGGTGCCAACTAGGCTCACACACCGCGACACGCTTATAAGCTTGCGCGCTGAGGTGCAATCATCGCAGCTGATCTCGCCGCCTGCTGGACGTGGGAATGTTTTCGTCCCTGTTGAATGACCCGAAGCCTGACCACGAGCACGATGTTCACCCTATCCAGCCCGCTCTTTACTGACGACTGTCAGCGGTCCTGCGACCCTCCCAGACCGGGTGATGAGCCGCATAGCGGATTGATTTGACTGCGACGAAGGGGGCGCACGCTCCGACCGCGGCCGCTGTGCGCTCGACGCCGGCAGAGCGCGCCGCGCGGCCCACTCCCCGGCCGCCGCAGCGTGTTCCACTCCGTGGCGTACCTCGGCGACCCGAGCGGCAGCACAGCCGGCGCTGTCAGACTTCAAGACGCGCTCGGCCCTCAGCCACGGGGCTCCCGCCGGGACGGCTGTAAGGTGACGATCCAACAGGCCGAGCCGACCCGCGCCAGTCGGCTCTGCACCATCACCGGGCGCAGCCGACCGACCGAACACGGTGCACACGTAACACACTATATATTTGAACACAATAACGCATAGCTGGAGACTAACGGACAACTGAGGTGTCATGACATTAAGTACAACAATAAATAATAACATGATCAGCTATTGGTCTCTGATTTGAAGACATGAGAAATAGCTCCTGATAGATCTGCCACTAATTTCACGACATGAACGAAGATACCCGAGGCGGCACTATACACAACTAACCGGCATAATACTGTCCTTAACATGCTATCCGTCTGACAAATAAATTACAAGTCTATTTAAATAAGTATCATCAATAAAGCGTCGTGCAATTGCGGCCCGATGGCCTGATCTAGCCTGACTGCGCCTGCAGTGGGCCGCTACTCCGCCGCGTGGCAGCTCACTGCGCCTCCCGCCCCCGCGCGGCCGCAGCGCAGTCCGATCAGATTGCCAGGCGCACTGGGCACGCCCGGCGTCGGCGCTCGCTCCGACCGATCTGCGGACGGCACGGCACGGCACGGCACGGCACGGCACGGCACGGCATGGCACTGTCACCGCCGCCGGCTCGCTCCTGGACGGTCAACAGAGACACGGCCAGACCAGCGGAGCCGCTTCGCCAGCCGGGCGCGCCTCGCTCGGGGCTGAGGCGTGGACATCGTGCGGCCGGCCGGCGCGCGGCCACGGCCCCGGCCGGGGGACGGACACAGACGGCCGCCCGCCGCGCACCGCCTCAGCCGCCACGCCGGCCACGTATGGTCTGCCGGCGACTGGAGCCGCCACAACAAACACACACGCCTTGCAAGCAGCGGCAGTCGCCACATCAGACACACACGGCTTGCAAGTGGCGGCAGCCGCAACATCAGACACACACACGGCTTGCAAGCGGCGGCAGCCGCCACAACAGCTACGTATGGTTTGCACACTGCGGCAGCCACCATGCGGTTTGCAGGCTACAGCAGCCGCCACGCGAGCCACATAGCCAGTGCACGCTGCGGCGGCTGACGACCAACGGCCGCAAATGGCAGCAGCTGATGCGCACCAGGGCCAGAGGCCGGTACCCGTCGCACGAGCACGAGCCAAAACAGCTGCACGCAGGTGCGTGGCAAACGCTGACGGTGGACGCAGTGCCCAATGGCCCAGCGGTATTGTCGCCACGGGCAGGTCGACGGCACGGTCCAGACTGCGGCGGTGAGGAACTGTTCGAGAAGACGCACACCACAACATCCGGCCAGTGAACACTAGACGAGCGCCACCATTGCGAATGATTCCGTCGCAGAATAAACGGACGCCACGACACAACCGTGCCTGCCGGCCTCCAGCACGTCATGTACATCACACGACAAAAGGCGACAAACGTCTGATGAGTCCGATCAGCGCAACGTCCTTCCAAGGAGCGCGATCATTTGGCCGCACAACGTAACGTTGCCTCATGTGCGCTCAGGTAACTGACACAATTTAGGCTCACTGCCACCTATAAAAATTAGTCATCACTATTTGTAAGGCAACTTCCGCGCGAGCAGCGTGCCACGTCGACTCGCCATTGGCCAGGTGTGCTCCCTGTTGCCAATGGCCAGGTATGCTCCCTGTTGCCATTGGCCAGGTGTGCTCCCTGTTGCCATTGGCCAGGTGTACTCCCTGTTGCCATTGGCCAGGTGTGCTCCCTGTTGCCATTGGCCAGGTGTGCTCCCTGTTGCCATTAGCCAGGTGTGCTCCCTGTTGCCATTGGCCAGGTGTGCTCCCTGCCGTCAGAATACTGTACGTGAGGACGCAATACTGACGGAGTGGTTGCCAACCGTGACCCTCACCCTTCCCCACGAACACCCGCTCGTACACGCCCCCCCCCCCCCGCCACCCACAACCGTACGCGGCCGGGCGCCGTAACAAAAATACCGTCATCTGCATGCGCTCCAGCTACCAGCGACGCCGCTGGTCCAATCACAGTGTGTTGGGAAGGGAAGGGGAGGGGCCGCCCAACTCTCAGAGCCTCTCCAGCGCCGCTCCGTCGGTTGGAAGCAGCGTCGAGTCGGCCGAGTCGAGCGAGCCGCGCGCCGAGGCTGAGTCACAGGCCGCGTGCCACTCCTCCTCGATCACGTCCTCATCCAGCTCGACCTCGTGGTACCCTGGCGGCCGGCGCGGCAAACTCGTCACGCGTCAGCTTATGGACGGCTACTGGCTACCGGCTGGCGGCGGCAGGTGCGCCAGTGAAGCCAAGCATTCAGGCAAACAAAACCAGGCAATTAATTCACCAGGCAAAAAAGCACCGAGTGACGATGCTCTGATACAACATCATGCGAATGCATCCTGTCATATGTGTGTGTGTGTGCGCGTGTGTGTCATTGGTCACGTCATGTCACGCCACACATTCGTAGGGTGGGGATGGCGTGGGGCGGGTGGGGAGATTCTGAGGACTCGCGGCTGGGTATGGATAAACCCCGAAGCTGTTACCTGTCGCGGGACCGACATAGCTTCACCTGTAGAATTTCTTCGAAACGTTGGACCCTCGAAGTAAAAATTACACATCCCAGCGCTTTGGCTCGCTGAATAACACCACCGGGAGTGATTTTGAAGAGCAATGCGTTCACAACATTCCTAATACGTTTAACGATTATTCATTAATGTAGTGTAGAAAAAAACAGCCTGTTCTCATAACAAGAAGGCCAAAAAGTATGTCTTGCCCTTTTCCAAAAGACGAGCCAAGACTAAACAAATATTAAACTTCATGTCATTTCAGTTATGCAAAAAATGGCATCCCACCTATAATCATCCTGACGCATGCATCATCATGGCAGATATTTCAATCAATTACAAGGGAATGTGTGTAATAAAAAACGGGATGCAACGGCTTAATTTCGTATCTGAGCAATGTTGGCAGCGAATAAATGATCAACCAATCTTATGGAAATACCGTTGGTGCGTAGGCTGCCGAGCATACTGCGCTTCGCTGCACTGTTTGCTGTGCCCCTCAATATGGTATTGGGCCCGACTGCCATACTAGTCACGTTGCGCCCCACTGCCTAGCATTTCTGTGCTCCACTGCGTAGTATTCCGCCACGCTGTACACATTATATCCCTCTCCCACACATCGACACTTAGGCTGCATTATTGGGTCTCTCCGTATGGTTTTATTGCGCCAAACCGTACAGCCGCATTCCGCTGCATCGTGGTACTGTGCGCAACTGTGTAGCGTTATTGCGCTCTGACGTATAGTAATCGCAGCATGGCTGTGTGATCATGTTTCATATTTGAAGATGTTGAAACAAGCACCAGATATGGTGAAATAAGCCCACATAGCTATTGGCATACTTTTCAGTGGAAAAAATGTTCTATACAATGCAAATTTTTCTGTGAAGTAAGCGTTCCTCAATAGTCATTGTTTCACTGTCATAGCACGTTTGTATGACGTTGAAGTGCCGTCAAACTAAACGTGCGAAATTGCCACCCTGCGCATATAACACTGGTGTAGTTACGTAAGTCCACCTGCAAACAAATCACGGACGGAGAACAAACAATCTAAAAGTACTGCCCGTTTGAGAGCCGTCATGATTTTACGGATGTATTTGACCCAACGGACCTGATGGTGACTTCGTGCCTGCGCCTAGTCCGTAATTCCCCCGTAGCGTGGCACGCGGTAGGTTAAGATTGTTTGCACCACGTCCGTAGTCTACTTTCAGGCGGCCGTGCTTGAATTTCCACTTGTCTTTCACATTTGTGTGGGGTTTTGAACTGAAATAGCCGCCTGGAAGATCATTCGGTGCAGTTCACAGCTCTGTCCTTCTTAAGACCTAAACCCCCTCGTTTCTGAGTTACGTGCTCGTGAGGATGTGCACACTATTTCAAGGAGACTATTCTAAGGTCACTCCGGCACTCATGGCGTCATAACAACGTCATTCAAATCTTGCCATTCCGTTGGCAATGCGGCGATGCGGGTCAAGAAAACAAAACTGTTGAGTCGTTCATGTCTGGCGCTCGTGCGCGCAATTTGGAGATATAACAGCCGTCAATTGGCCCCCAATCAACACCGCACAAGGTAGGATGATATAATGAAACAATGACGTCTTCGGGAGTATATTTGCTTGACAGAGAAGTCGTGCTGTCAAGAGCAGTCTGTTTCACCCATGTTCGTGAACTTAGCGATTTATTCGGCGATTTATTCAGCGACAGTTCCGATTTTCTGAAAAAACTTTGGGTTAATTGTGGCATGAGAACACGGCAAATGACCCTTATTTTGCGATATCATGTAACCTTCAAGACCAAAAGCTGGGTCAAAGCACGCGGAAATCGATATCACCCAAAAATTACCGGCCGATTTTCAACTTGCAAATGTCAGAATATTCACCACAGAAAGAACTAGCGTCCGTCACAAAGTCCTGACCTCTCAAGGTGACCTTTCAAGGTGAAACGCGGGCTCAAAGGACGGGGAACTCGATATCAGCAAAAAATTGCCGGCCGATATGAAAACTAGACATAAAAAATACACAAGCGCAAGAGCTAGCGACGCATGCTCTAACGTCCATGAAAAATAACTGACATCTCAATGTCATCCTTCAAGGCCAAACGCGAACTCAAAGGACGGGGAACTCGATATCACCCAAAAATTACCGGCAGATTTGAAAACTATAACATCAAAATATTCACAAACGTTTGAGCCAGCGTCCGTCAAAAAGTCCTGACATCTCAATGCCACCAATCAAGGTCAAACATGGGCTAAAAGGACGAGGAACTCGATTCCACCCACAAATTACCGGGCGATTTTCAACTTACAAACATCAGAATATTCACCACAGAAAAAAAATTAGCGTCCGTCAAAAAGTCCTGACCTGTCACGGTCATCCTTCAAGGTCAAACGTGGACTAAAGGAAGGGGAACTTGATATCATCCAAAAATTACCGGCCTATTTGAAAACTTTAAGCATGTTTATAAGTTGGTGTTTATAAGTTGATGTTTACAAGTTGAAAATCGGCCGGTATTTTTTGGATGATATCGAGTTCCCCGTCCTTTGACTCTGCGTTTGACCTTGAAGGATGGCCTTGAGAGGTGAGGGCTTTTTGACGGACGCCAGTTTTTCTGTGGTGAATATTCTGATGTTTGTAAGTTGAAAATCGGCCGGAAATTTTTGGGTGATAGCGAGTTTCCCGTCTTTTGAGCCCGCGTATGACCTTGAAGGGTGAACTTGAGATGTCAGGACTTTTTGACGGACGCTAGCTTTTGCGCTCGTCAATATTTTGATGCTGATAGTTTTCAAATCGACCGGAAATTTTTGGGTGATATCGAGTTATCCGTCCTTTGAGTGTTTGACCTTGAAGGGTGACCTTGAGAGGCCAGGACTTTCTGACGGACGCTAGTTCTTTTTGTCCTAAATACTCTGACATCTGCAAGTTGAAAACCGGCCGGTAATTTTTGGGTGATATCGCGTTCCCCGTCCTTTGACCTAGCTTTTGACGTTGGAGATCACACGATAGCGTAAAATAGGTGTCATTTCTGGTGTGTTCATGCTACAATCGACCTTGAGACCATCTTTTGGAGAAATCCGTACTCGTCGCTGAATAAATTGCTGAATAAATCGTAACTTCACGGACATGTTTCACTCAAAGGGGCAGCTACAGTTTAAGTGAGCTGATTTCATCATATCTGATGTTTGCCTCAATATCTCAAATGTGGACCATTCCTTTACAGGAAGTGCACGAAATTAGCTCACTTTGAACTATTGCCACGCCTTTATGTAGAGCCAGCTGCTTTGAACAACACAATTTCTCCGTTGAGTAAAAATGCCCCTCAATACGGCACTGTTCGATTACGTCATCGCACTTTGCACACCATTTGTTGAGAACCAATTGACAGTCGCTATAACTGGAAATTGCGCTCACGAATGCCAGATGTGAACGACTCACATTTACATCTTGATTGGCCTTTATCGCCACGTAGCCAATGGAATGGCAGGATTTGAATGACGTCATCATGGCGTCATGGATGCCTGGGTGACCTTGAAATAGTCACCCCGAAATAGTCTGCACATCTTCGCACGCGTTTAACTTAAAAACTAGACGGGTTTAGGTCTTAATAAGGGCAGGGCTGTAAACTGTACCGAATGATAATTAATGTGGCTATTTCATTTTAACGCCCCATACAAATGTGGAACACTCCCTTCACCCAACCAATGTTTCAATGTACGCTGCTGCCCTAGCACTCTCTTGTAGTACTCCAAACTCACCGAGAGATGGCGGCACGGGCTTGGTGTTAGCTGAGCCAAATATCCGTATGTGCTCGTGTTTGGCCCTTTTCCGTGATGAGGCGGACAAACTGGACCGAAATGGACCGAACTGGAGGCAGAATGAACCGGACTGGACCAGCCCGGTGGCACGTACGCACGTCTCCAGTCGTTATGTGTGCCCAGCTCTGGCTGAACCGTGTCTGGGCAGCTGACTTCAGCCGTGAACAAAGTCGTACGGCAATGTGCGTTAAAACGGTGCGCTTCTCTTTGTTATCACTGGCTAGTGTATCGCTGGCCATGCAGCAGTCATCTCACGCAGGTTAGCTGACGAGCGCTGGAGCGCGACGACCTTGTGAGGCTGAGAGGCTGGACCCTGTGGCCAGGTCAGCTCCGAATGAGCCGGGCGCGGCGGCCGGCTGTGTCCCGGTGCGGCGCGCCACACTGACCTCGCGCAGGGTCAGCGGGCCAGGTCAGAGTGTCAGCAGCCGGCTGGCGTGGTGGGTTGGCAGGCGTGCCGCCCCGGGGTCCAGGGCCAGGCTGCAGAACGGCGCTGATACGGCCGCCACCGAGACGGCGAAACGGTTGATATGGCACGGTACAGAGTGGCAGGCAAGGACACCAAGTCAAGGGCCGCACACCTAGGATCTAGGACATGGTGGGGAATACAACGCGATTGCAACACCCTAAGCGTTGGACGAACCCAATGTACGATTATCGCATTTCTGCATTTCACAAGTTTGCGAGCCTTTTTGTAACCTAGTAGCACACAGGTTATCGAGACAATGATCTGCGAGCCACGCAATGCTCAGGAATACAACCAGCAACTAGCAATATTTCGCAAAAACGAATTAACAAGCAAGCGAAGAAGTCGCGATAACGTCCCAACGTACATCCGAAACCAACGAATGACGGGTGGTAGTCAAGTGTCGGGAGCGCGGACCCACCTCTGTCAACGCTGATGATGGAGTTGACGATGTCCCCAACCGTCATCGTATGATCCATGTCCAGTTTGTACTTCCAGCGTATCATGAACCAGTCCAGCAGGAAGATGATGGCCGAGAACACTTTCAGTCCAGCACATATTCCCACGTACCTGAGGCCGGCGGCACGGTCAGCGTCAGCACAGCACGGCACGGCACGGCACGGTCCGTCCCCGGCCCCCGCCCCCGCACAGTCAGCAGCCCAGTCAGGCGCGAGGCCTCACAGCGGCCGGCCCAGCGTCGCCGGCAGCGGGTGGGCCGGGCGGCCGCTCGGCCTGGTGACACCAGGGCGCCAGACGTCCTCGCAGCGGACAGCTCAGCAGCCAGGCAGCGGACCCGGGATCCACGCGGCGGCGGGGAGCCCACCCACAGCCGGGCACAACCGGGACAGGCACGCCGGGACAGCCGTGACGGGAGAAGCCAACGGACGTTGGCCTAGGCTCGCTTCCGATCGAATAGCTTGTTTCAATTTAATATGGCGGAAACACGCGCATTTCACGGTGAGAGGCGAATGGAAGCTCACTTGAACCTGAAGACCTCGATGTCGTAGACGAGGCACCGGCCACCGCGTTCGCCGCACTGCGACTTCCACAGGACGCAGGTCGAATCAATTACGTTGCCGAATAGAATCGGAGACGGAATATAGGCAAACAGCCGGAAGATGACGAACTGCATACCGAGCGCGAATGCTCGCTCCTCTTCGTCCACCGACCTGTGGCCAAGGGCAGCGTCAACGTCAGCGGACCCACCACCACCAGCGGCTCAGTTTACAATCAGCGGACCCACCACCACCAGCGGCTGTCTACAATCAGCGGACCCGCCACCACCAGCGACCCAGTCTACAATCAGCGGAGCCACCACCACCAGTGGCCCAGCCAGCGGACCCACTACCACCAGCGGCCCATTTACAATCGGCGGACCTACTACCACCGGCGGCCCAGTCTACGATCAGCGAACCCACTGCCACCAGCGGTTCAGTCTACAATCAGCGGTCCCACTACCACCAGCGGCCCGGTCTACAATCAGCGGTCCCACTACCATCAGCGGCCCAGTCTACAATCAGCGGTCCCACTACCACCAGCGGCCCAGTCTACAATCAGCGGACCCACTACCACCAGCGGCCCAGTGTACAATCAGCGGACCCACTACCATCAGCGGCCCAGTCTACAAACAGCGGACCCACTACCACCAACGGCCCAGTGTACAATCAGCGGAGCCGCCACCACCAGCGGCCCAGTGTACAATCAGCGGACCCACTACCATCAGCGGCCCAGTCTACAAACAGCGGACCCACTACCACCAGCGGCCCAGTGTACAATCAGCGGAGCCGCCACCACCAGCGGTCCAGTCTGCAATATAAAACAGCCCAGATCCCGGCCAGGCGACGCCATACAGGCTTAGGAGCTGAGTGTATCGTAAGGCCCCAGTGACGACGACGCAGAGAATAGCACCACGGCTAGTGTCGGCGCCAAGAAATTCGCTTGGGTCATGCTGAAGGACAGCAACAGTGGACAATTCAGGGCCAGCGGACATCGATGCTTTCGGGGACGGGCTTCAGAAGCCTCACAGTGCCGCACCCAGAATGAGGGTAGTGTTGACAAGTGCAGATATACCACAAGCGGAGCATGGGGTCCCGCAACACCACTAATGCTGAGGCAGGACAAGGGGCGGGAGGATGCCAAAATATCACAGGTCCATACGAGCGGTGATAACATGCACAGCCATCAGTCATACAAAGCGCTAGTTCCCACCATAGACGTGTCTGCCTTAACCATGTGGCAATAAAGGAGTCTGGAAATTTCATACTAGAAGACTAAAAATAAGTGATAATACGAATGGTTCCCCGCCAATGACAGCATTGCTCTTTGCAAGCGAGGCAGCGCTCCGTCTCTTTGCCAGCCGCCGCCTCAGCGGAAGCCGGCCGACCTCCCGGCGCCGACACAAAGCCAGTCTGACAGCCCACCTCAGCACGATCATCAGTAGCGGCATCTGGGTGATGGCCACCACGAACGTCATGAAGAACAGCAGCACCATGAAGGGCAGCGCGTTAGAGCAGGAGCGCGAGCACGAGCCGGGCGTGGCCACCGGCACCATGGTGATCTCGGCGTAGCTCTGGCTCGAGTTGCCCCCCACGTCGATGCCTGCCGGGACGGGCACAGAGGCATCAAAGAACGCCGCTCGCACGAAACACAGACATGCCACCGACTATACTGCATGTTTTATATGGCTGAGTGCGGTGCGTATGTGCGGTGTGAAGGAAAAAAGCGGCTGCTACAACGCGAAAAACGCATGGCTTCCACGTGCCCGCGCCCAAGTAATCAAAGAAAGCAGCAAATGTAGTCACAGCGCCTGGCGTCGTAACTTTTGCGGTGGCAGTAGGTAGCTGTGACGGCCGCGGGGCGGCGCTGCTCACATGCACAGTTGGTGTAGTTGCTCTTGGAGCTGTACGTGGTGCAGCCAGCGTGGCAGGGCGAGAAGTAGGTGAGCCCGTTGGTGCCGCAGACGGGCTCGACCTCGTTGCGGTCGCAGTCGCAGCCGAAGTTGCAGCTGGCCGTCAGGTTGACACTGAACATCTCAGGCGACTGGCGGCCGCTGACGGTGGACGGACACACATCGGGCCGTTAGAGTGGTGGCCGTTGACACATACACCCAGCCGTTAGACTGGCGGCCACTGACGGCGGACGGACACACACACCGGCCCGTTAGAGCGGTGGCCGTTGACACATACACCAGGCCGTTAGACTGGCGGCCACTGACGGAAGACGGACACACACACCAGGCCGTTAGACTGGCGGCCGCTGACGGCGCACGGACACACACACCGGCCCGTTAGAGTGGTGGCCGTTGACACACACACCAGGCCGTTAGACTGGCGGCCGCTGACGGTGGACGGACACACACACCGGGCTATAAGACGACCGCGCCGCGCGCCGACACTGGCCTGCCGCTCAAACGCATCAGTTGTCTACGATCAAACGCCTCTCTCTCCCTCGCTCAGGTCTAAATGCCGTCATTCGGAGTGCGACAATCGAGCGCTGGTCGACGTGACACTTCCAATGCATGTTCCATCGCGCGCACCCGGCCGGACACCTCCCGCCTGTTCCGGCAACGCGGAGCCCGCACACAGGCCGGCGCTGGCGGCGGAGGGTGGGGCCGCGCCGCCCGGCCGGTCACCTGAGGTAGTACGGCGCCGTGGCGCCAGCCATCTTGACGTTGTCACAGCCGACCACGAACAGCACGCTGTACATGGCCAGCGAGATCATCTGGAAGATGAGGATGAGCTGGACGGCGCCCTTGGGCCGCAGCTGTAGTCGCTTCAGAATGTAGCCGCCCATGAAGACGCCCATGCAGGCGCCCGGGATGGCGATTCCACCTGGCGGTGTGGAGAGAGGAGGCAACTAAGACGCGCGTCACCGGAGAAGGCGAGGGGAAGGGGGTAGAATAGACAGAGGTTAGGGGACACGAGTACGGCAATAGTGTCCCGCCAGCATTGCGATGCAGCCTTGCAGCCTAGTATGCCAGCCCGCCAGTATCCAGCCTTGCAGCCTCGTGTCCCGCCAGCAGCCTTGCTGACGCCTTTTGGACATGGAACTACACCGGGACTACACCGTAGACATGGGAGACGAAACATGGCGTAATGGCAGGCGGCAACGCAAAATAGCACCCGACCGGGGAAACGCGGCTGCCACTAGAAACACGGTCTTCCATAACTGTCACAGGACCACGGGGAACACGGGTAAAACCATTCCGAGATGCATGGCTCCCGTCACGCCCACGGATCGGGTCGATACCTTAATATGCGATATAAATGTCCGGAGTCAAGTAGATAATTTATCAACTTAGATGATTAACGAACGTCGCGGAGCGAACGGCCCGAAGTCTGGCAGGCGTTCTCGCGCACGCCGACTGCACTGACCGGCGAACACGGAGGCCTGGCTCTTGCTGAGGCTGAACTGGGTCTCCAGGTACTTGGGCAGGAAGACGATGAAGCCGGACACAATCATCAGCTCCATGCAGGCGCCCAGGCAAGTCACCACGTAGATCGGGTTACACACCAGCTTCCACATGGACTTGGGCAGGTCTGAGGAATACCAGCGACGTCAGCCGTCGGCGCTGAGACATCCCAGTCCCCAGCGCGACGGGAACGCGGTCACCCGGCGTCGACCCAGCCAGCTTTGTAACAACACGACCCCGCGCTTGTATTTCACAAGCGCTAACCGAGCATTTAAGCCGGGTCTGTCCACCCGCCCACGGACCTGGCCCCGTAGGAGTCTATGCCGTCCACCATCTACCCGGTCCGTCCACCTGCCCACGGACCTGACCCCGTCGGTTGTCTACGCCGTCCACCATCTACCCGGTCCACCACGCTCCCGTCCATCTAATTCGTCCACACCGTCTCCGTCCACATGGTCCACAGCACTCCCTCCCCCATCGTCTGTCCCTCTCAGGCCTGGTTCTCATCGCTGTCTTCCGCCCCGCCCGCGTGCTGCCCCGCCTCGGTCACCTACCGTCCACGCCGCCTCGCCCCTCGAGCACGCCCGCACCCCCGGCTGTGCCGCGCCGCCGCGGTCGGCGCCGCCGACTCACCTTTCACATCGCGTCCGTAGTTGGAGCGGCTGGAGCGCGCGCTGGCTCGGCTGGCGCGGCTGACCTGCGACACATTCGACTTGGTGCGCCGGTGGCCGCGGTGGAAGCTGCCCTGGGCCGGGGCGCCCTGCGGACCTGGCGGCGCGTCCGACGGCGAGGTCAGAGCCAGCCGCCGCCACCGTCGCCGCCGACAGGCCGGACGGCGGCGTGTGAGGCGGGCGGCCCGCCGAGTGCGCTGTCGCCACGTCACCGGGAGCACGATACCTCACAGCACCGGTCACGCAACGGTGCCCGGCGCACACCAATCACATACAGTCATCTTGCCGGCCGAATGCCTCCAGATACTGCGCGCCAACAGCAAGTGCCTCTTTATAGATTGTAAATGGCATAGCCAGGCCATGAACGGCACAAGCCGGCCACACCCGTAACACCGTGCCTGTGCGGTGTATTGGGGCCGGGGACAGCGTGCGGGCCTGGCCTACCTTTGCTGAGTGCCGTCTGCGACACTGTGTACACGGTGCGGGAGGGGCCCGGCGGCGGGCGGGCCGGCGCCGCCAGCTCCAGGTGACGCAGTCGGTTCCGCTGTTCCTGCTCAGTGGGGTTGGAGAGTGTGCGTCTGTAACACACCCGGACTGTCAGTGAAAGGGGCTGAAACTGGGAAGCGCACACAGGGTCAATGTCGCACAAGCTTGTCTGCGACTGCGGTGATGAGGATTTAGGTTTGGGGCGCGTCACGGAGTTGGTCATACGTCGCCCGTTATCTCCAACTGCGGCTCACCTCCAGCAAAAGCACACCTCTCCGGCACTGCATCAACATTCATAACATTATCCATCAGGAAAACAGCACAAAAGCACGGCATCAATTGACTGCACGCTGGTCAGACTTCTGCAGGATCGACCGCGGCCGCGTCTGAAGAGGCAGCCATTCGAACCCGCACATCCAGAGCTCCGCGTACGGAGGCCACCGCAGGCACGGTCCCGCACAGGGCAGTGGCTGCGTGACAACAGCCTGCTCGCACTCTGCGCACTCAAACGGCGGGCACAGTGTGTCTTCAGAGCCGCCGGACCCGCCACACCGAGCGTAACTGGGTGCAGGCGCTCCACGCTCATCCGATGATCCACAATCAGCTTCTCTCTGGCGTCGCGTGACGCGCGCATAGACCGCCGCTTCAGCCATGAGAGCATGTAGCGAACCAAACGACCAAATCACTTGTTTGGACGTCGCAGACAACGAGCCGCTACATACCCAAACAATAAGCCACAGGCCGCCGCGCACACCAACGCCGCTGTTCACAGCGTCCGCTGTCAGTGTTTAACTTCCGCGCCCAGCCGGGCTGGCCAACACTAACATCTGACAGTGCTAGCACTAACATTTGGACCGGACGTCGGTGTCGACGGGCCGTGGAACGACGGCGACCGCCTGCCGTCAGCGCGCCGGCAGCACTGGGACCCCGCGTGACCCCCCCTCCCGATCCGCTCTCACCGGTGTCCGGGCTTGAAGTGGCCCGGCTTGCTGGCGTGCTCGATCACGACGTTACTGCTGGCGGTGCGCCGGTGGCCGCGCGGCGCGTGGTGCACGTGCGGCTCGTGGTCGGAGAAGTGTCGCGGTCGCACGTGATGGCAGTGCTCCTCGGAGACGCGCGAGCCGGCCCGCTGCTGCCGCTTCGCCTCCTTGGCCTTCTCCTCCTCGCGCACGCGCTGCTTCTCGGCCTGGTGTGGGACGGGACGGGGCGGGCCGGCTGTCAGGAGAGCTCTTGCTGTCGCGTCGGCGCCGAGAGACGCAGCGACGCCCAACACGCAAGCACGCACACACGCGCTTACGCGCGTACGCACGTGCACACGCACACAAGCACGCATTTTTGGTTACTTTCAAGTGACGAAGCAGAATATCGACAATGTAGCTTATCAATGAATACCAAACGGAGGTCCTGCGTACGACACTAATCCATTCCCACAGGGATACGATCGCGACCCATTTATGCTAGCTTTGCCTATGCAGAATGCCGACCACTCCTGCGGATTCCAACACCTGACCTAATACACTGCCTCACTCAGCGGCTCGTTCAGGACCGGCAGCTCACCTCCAGACTCTTGGGGAAGAGGAAGAAGAGCGCTCCGAGGATGAACATGCCGATGCCGCAGATGAGGAAGCCGCCCCACCACATGCCGACCCAGCGAGGATCGGACGTGTCTGATGAGGATGACGGACTCGTCACACATGGTGACGTGACAGATGCGACGCACGGCCGTATGGTCGGCAGACAGACGGTCAGCAGCGTATACAGCGGGGCGGCCGCAGGCGGCCCGAAAGCCGGCAGCACGGTCAGCTGGCACGACCGGCAGTCCGGCCGCGCAGGCAGCACGGCCGGCAGAGCCGCGCTGACGGCAGACCGGACCGCAGGACGGGCAGACGGGTGTCAGCAGGTCCGGCCCGACCACAGGCGGCCGAGGCAGCGCGCCACCGGCGGACAACAATGGCAGGACGGGGCAGACGGGTGTCTGCAGGTCCGGCCCGACCACAGACGGCCGCGGCAGCCCGCCACCGGCGGACAACAATGCACAACAGGAGCGTGCATCACGTGAAGACGGCACGCAATTCAGATCATCCACACAGGCATCAACGTCACACCTCCGAACACTACGAGGCCAGCTAGCCGACCGGAATCATAGCTCAGAGGGCGGAAACCAGCCAGCAGACTGCGCTTTGGGTGAGGTAGCTGTGAGAATACGTAATCGCCAATATCAACCACATCAGCGCAAGCATAGATACAAAGTGCCTGTGAATCAATAAAAGGATGCTATGACCACAACGTGTGAGCAATGTCGTGCCATCCTGCCAAACTCGTTCATTAAATGGTGACCATTAATGCACGCTCGCAATGTTAGAACCCGACAACAAAGCCAGCTCAACATCGGAGAACTCGATAATGCTTTTAAGAATATTGCAGCATAAACAGATCAATGAAAGGGGGTGACTAATGGCTACTTGATGGCCACAGCCGACCAAGAAATCTCAAAACAAGTACATCCATCATCGTTTTCTGCGACAAACACAGCTCGCGTCCGTTCGCCGGCCGGCGCACAATGCAACAAGGCCGGGCCCAAGACCTGCGAGCCTCTGACAACATGGGCCGACAAAAACGGCGCATCACTCGGAGCTCCCTGCCGGCGCGGCTCGCTCCGGCCCAGCCAGCACTCACCGGCGCCGTGCGGCAGCGGCAGGCCCGAGAACGAGTCGACGTGGTGTGACAGCATGTAGGCGCCCAGCAGGAAGCCGAGCACGGGCCCGAACGCCACCATGCTGTACATACAGCCTGCGGGTGGCGGCAGACGGGCCGTCAGTGGGGCGGCGGCAGAGCACGGCCACACGCTCCGGGCAACAGCAACAGCCGGCCGCACACACACGTGCGCGGCCGGCCCGCCACGCCGGCACGCTGTAGCTGGGACTGGGGGCAGTGTGTTTAGGTCACAGCCGCGGCATTCGATGCCGACAGTAACGACATCAACAACGATCCCAGCTCGGGGACATATCAGAGCACGTTGTCATTGACCCTTACACCCAGCCGAGCGGCCCCTCCCGAGCCAGTGAACACGTGCCGCCGCTGGAACCCTCTCCAGCTCACCGATGTAGAAGGAGGAGCTCTCGCGCGGCACGTGGTCGTCGATGTACGTGGTGCCGAGCGTGAAGAGGGGCGAGCCGCCCGAGCCCAGCAGCAGCTGCGCCAGCATGAAGATCAACACCGGCAGCAGGTTGCTGACCGTGCCCTCGATGCAGTTGTCACGGCGGCCGTGCAGGTTATTGTGCGGAGAGAGCGGCGGCGACGCTAGGTCCCGGGACAGGTCTGCCGGGACATGGCGAGCGTCAGGAGCCGACATACGGCCAACAACAGGAGCCGGGACGCAGTCAAGAGCAGGAGCACGAGCAGGACAGTGCCGCCGGGCGCGGTCAATGACAGGGTTCGGGACAGGTCCGCAGGGGCCTGGGCCAGGCCAGAGCCAGGAGCCGAGACAGTCTCAGGAGCCGGGACACAGCCAACAGCAGGTCTGTCCCGCTCAGTAAAGGGGATCATCGGGGTAGGAAGGAAATACAAGTGCGCATGACAAACATTATATATATATATATATATATATATATATATATATATATATATATATATATCGGCTGGCATATGTTATATAACCTCCAATATACGGCTGCACAGACCGGCACATCAGGACCGGAAGAGCGGAGAGGGGACGGGGAGGCGGCATATACGAAGGTCTGAGGGGGCACGCTGATCCCGTGTATTTCCGTACGGTCAGATACGAACAGCGAACTGATCGCAGCAGCGAGAGACACGATTCCGAGTGACGGCATCGCAGAGCGTCGCATCTAGTTCCTGTACACTGCATCACCGTGGCAACCGCCCCGACTGCACCCGCGTACTGCACCAGACTGCACCCGGAACCCGCGTGATCCGCAGGCGCCCGCTCCTTGTGACCAGACTGCAAGCCACACCATCAGCCGCAGAGCAAGGGTCAAAACGACTGGCAGTCACTTTCGCCTGAGTGAAGAGACGTCCGACAATGGCAGCTGCAAAGTGCCACACGGTGACATTCTAAGTACTCTAAATTCCAGCCAACCACCGAAATCTGCTCGCTAGTGTTTCCCAGGCCACGAACAGCATTTCTCATGCTGAAAGCATGACATCCAAAAAATACAAGATGTGCGCATGCATCATTGCTCCGGAACTAATGTTAGTGACGTGCCATGCCATGACCGGTTTTTACCCAAACATCTACATATCAACGGCGTGAATACTGCATTGTACAAAAAGCCAGCTACGGGCGCAGAGTAAGTAAAACCGGACCGGGCCCGACTGCGAGCTGCAGCAGGATGGGGCACCCTGTCACGGCCGAGCCGCATGCAGTGGCCATCGGTCGCCAGGCCCCAGCTGGCTCGCTCCGGCCGCCCCCGAACCTCCGCATTCGGACGATCGAGCGGTCTGCGGACGGCCCGGGCAGCACGACAGCGGCGGCGGCGGCGGTGGCGGCGGCGCCGGCTCGCTCGCGTGACTGGACCGCTCGACCCAGCGGTCCACACCACCCGCCGGTGATGGCGGCCGGGCGGGCCCTGGGGACGCCCCGGCCGGCCGGACACGGCCCAGCGGTCCACAGCAACCGCTGGGGGCGGCGGACCAGCGGTCCCCGCCGCCGCCGTCGCCGCCGCCGCTAGACCGGAACTCGGCACGCGTCAGCCGCATCACGCGAATCAATTATCGAGCACGTCCCAGTCAGGTAGACCCCATTACCATGTGCGGAGGGCTACAAGCGGCGCTATTTACAGGCACCCAGGAGCGAAGATTGCATGCACTCCGCGTCGACCGCTCGAGTTACGCAGCCCGCCACCGAGACACTAGGGGCGCAGTCACGTGCGAGCATTCGGTCGGCGTGAGCGTGCGAACACTCTCGACAGACGGACGGCGCCCGGCCGCGGATGCAGCCGTCAGTGCAGCGCCCCAGCGGCGGCGTCCGGGCCCGCCCGGAGGTCTGCATGCGAGCACGCGTCGCGTCACCTACCGTCCAGCCCCTCCGCCAGTTTACCGAGGCCGAGCTCCTGCAGCTGACGGTAGTTGTTCGAGTCGCGACACACGTTCTCCGGCGCGCTGCTCGCGTTCGCCTCCACGCTGAGGCTGTAGCTGTTCGTCAGGAAGTGCGGCACGGAGAAGAGCAGGCTGCCAAGGCCCATCACCATGATGCCTGCGTGTCGGACAGCCGGTCAGGCCCGGCTGGACCCGGGACACACACCAGACCACAGCTAACCCACAGGGAGAGAGAGAAAAAGAGAAAGAAACAAAGAAACAGAGAGAGAGAGAGAGAGAGAGAGAGAGAGAGAGAGAGAGAGAGAGAGAGAGAGAGAGAGAGAGAGAGAGAGAGAGAGAGAGAGAGAGAGAGAGAGAGAGAGAGAGAGAGAGAGAGAGAGAGAGAGAGAGAGAGAGAGAGAGAGAGAGAGGAGAGAGAGAGAGAGAGAGAGGAGAGAGAGAGAGAGAGAGAGAGAAGAGAGAGAGAGAGAGAAGAGAGAGAGAGAGAGACGAGAGAGAGAGAGAGAGAGAGAGAGAGAGAGAGAGAGAGAGAGAGAGAGAGAGAGAGAGAGAGAGAGAGAGAGAGAGAGAGAGAGAGAGAGAGAGCGAGAGAGAGAGAGAGAGGAGAGAGAGAGAGAGAGAGAGAGAGAGAGAGAGAGAGAGAGAGAGAGAGAGAGAGAGAGGAGAGAGAGAGAGAGAGAGAGAGAGAGAGAGAGAGAGAGAGAGAGAGAGTGCACAACAGGCTGCAACCGATAACAAGCTGTCCGTTGCGTGTGACTAATTTGGACTGCCTTGTCAACATAGCTATCAAGCACGTTTATTAGCTTGCAACTAAACGGATATGTCCGATCATAGTCAACAGATCTCACCGTTTCAACTGACACATCTCAGCTCACATCGCTCATTTGGAAGTGATTCCTTAACGATAATAAAATTGAATACCCACGGACAATACCGTAATGAAGCGTGAAGCCTACGTCAGACGCGCACTGATGTCCTACAATTATATCAGTCCGGTAATCATTCAAGATGCATGTCAGGTACTGCAAAATATACGCCCAAACGCCTTTAGACCGACGCGCCGTCAGGTCGTCTCGCTCATCGAGCAGACATCGCCGAGTTTCGAGTGGCGCCACCGCGGGCGCCGCCGGCGTCCAGCGCTGGCACGGCCTTCCCCAGGGGGCTGAGTGGTCGGTGTTTGGGTGACGGCCCTCCCCTCCCCACATCCCAGCTCCTGCCGAGCTAGGTGGCCGCCGGTCCTGCCGGCCGGCTCCAACTCCTAGCCGCTGATCCCCTTATACACCGCCGGTCACGGCCCGGCTGCCGTATGGTCTCCGAGGCATACACCACCGGTCACGGCCCGGCTGCCATATGGTCTCCGAGGCATACACCAACAGGCCCGGCCCGGCCCGGGTTCAGTCCTCAGCTGTGGCTCATTTCCAGCCGTGCCCCAGCTTCCGCCCACCGCCCTGCCTCGGCCTGTGCTCCTCCCTCCCCGCTTATTCCCAGCTAGGGGGCGACTCGGCATCAGCTCAATCGCGACCCAGCCGTCACGGCGCTGTATTGGAATACCGCGCATACCGGTCGGCTGGAGGCGCGTGCCATCCGCCGGTGCCGTCCGGGGCGCGGCGAGCGATGCAGTGGGAGCGCGGCCGGTGCGGCGATGTGCTGGGGCTAGACCCCGCGGACCGTCGCCGGTGACTGCTGACACAGCGCACCACCGGCTGAGCACGGGGGCTAGGGGACCGGCGCACCGCTCAGCTCGCCACGGAAACCGCGGCAGCTGACCCCCAAACACCCGGCGTCGACCTCCGAGTCCCAAACACAGCCAGCCCTGGTACGTCAACAACGCCAGGCCCGCTATGAATCATATACGAGGCACGGCGTGCGGCGAACGGCCGCGGCCCGTTCGCTGCATCTGCCGTGGCTGGGCGCGAACACTGGGCGGCGAGCGGGATATTTCGCCGGCGCCGCGCACCGTCGGACTTGGCAGCCATCCGCGCTCGCTCCCAGAATAACGGTCGAGACCGATGGCAGCCTCCGACACGGAAACAACATGGCCCGGAGCTGAAGGGGGCTCAAATGAGTCGTGACCGAATGCGCCCGGAGCAGCCGTGGGACCGGCACTGAATCGCTCGCCTCCATACAGACCAATCCATTCAGCGGCACAGGGGTCCATGCCGCGCGGCCTGCAGTCGTCGCCGTGCTCATACACAGCTGGAGCCAAATTAGCCGCATTCAGCTGGCCGGGGGAAGCACCACAGACATCTCCGGCAGCTATTGGGCAGCGGGGATGTGTTTGTGGTGGTGACGGCCAGAAGTATCTCATGCCGGGGACAAGCATCCGCTCATCGCTCTGTGAACATACAGGCGGGGCGAAACGTGGGAGACACTGACCTCTGCCAATCCACACAGGCACGTGTCGGCGCGAGCCCAGGTAGCTGACGAAGATAACCGTGAGCATGTTGCCGATCTCGTAGAAGGAGGCGATGACGCCCGTCAGTGAGGACGGGATCTCGTACCGCTTCTCGATGGTTGTGATAACCGAGTTCAGGTAGCCCGAGCTAAGTGCCTGCTGCAGCGTCACCAGCAGCGACAGCAGCAGCACAAACACCTGGCCGGGCAGCAGGACACTGTCAGTATACACCACACCTAGCTAAATACCGGGATCGGGTCAGTACAAGCGCATGATGCGACGGCAGCGCAGGGCACAGCTGGGCAAGGTCGGTACGGAAACCCAGACAAACACCAGAACAGGGAGGGCGTAGGTACACATCTGGTCTGACAGGATGGCAAGGTCAGCACCAACACCTGGTACAGAACAGATTTAGTTCACACGACTCGGATAGCGGTAGGGCAGGTTTCAGAACAAACAACTGGTTCAACAGCAGAATGCATTTAATGCACACGAAACGAACAGCGTCACGGACACCGTTTAGTACAGCAAGAAAACGGCCGTCTGACCGTCCGGACGGCTCAGGCACTTACCTTGATGCTGGCCAGCCGCTGGAGGCCGCGCGGCCGGCAGCCGAGCAGACCACACTCCCCAGCGCTGTAGCCGTCCTCGAGCGGCGGCCGAAAGCGCGGCCGGGTCAGCGTCGAGCGGCGCGAGCCCAGCTCCATCCTCCGACTGTCGACGGCGCAGAGGGGCCCGGTCACTAGCGCCGCCCGGTGCAGAGGGGCTTAGTCACCGGCACCGCGCGGCGCAGAGGGGCCCGGTCACTGGGGCACGGTCCGGGCCGCAAGAGGGGCCCCCGTTTCACTGGCACCGCCCGGTGCAGAGGTGCCCGGGTCAGCGGGCACCGCCGCCCGGTGCAGAGGGGCCCGGTCAGCGGCACCGCCCGGCGCAGAGGGGCCCGGTCAGCGGCACCGCCCGGCGCAGAGGGGCCCGGTCAGCGGCACCGCCCGGTGCAGAGGGGCCCGGTCAGCGGCGCCGCCCGGCGCAGAGGGGCCCGGTCACTAGCGCCGCCCGGCGCAGAGGGGCCCGGTCACTGGCACCGCCCGGCGCAGAGGGGCCCGGTCACTGGCACCGCCCGGCGCAGAGGGGCCCGGTCACTGGCACCGCCCGGCGCAGAGGGGCCCGGTCACTAGCACCGCCCGCGCAGAGGGGCCCGGTCACTGGCACCGCCCGGTGCAGAGGGGCCCGGTCAGCGGCACCGCCCGGTGCAGAGGGGCCCGGTCACTAGCGCCGCCCGGCGCAGAGGGGCCCGGTCACTGGCACCGCCCGGCGCAGAGGGGCCCGGTCACTGGCACCGCCCGGCGCAGAGGGGCCCGGTCACTAGCGCCGCCCGGCGCAGAGGGGCCGGCGCAGAGGGGCCCGGTCACTGGCACCGCCCGGTGCAGAGGGGCCCGGTCACTGGCACCGCCCGGCGCAGAGGGGCCCGGTCACTAGCACCGCCCGGCGCAGAGGGGCTTAGTCACCGGCACCGCGCGGCGCAGAGGGGCCCGGTCACTGGCACGGTCCGGCGCAGAGGGGCCCGTTCACTGGCACCGCTCGGAACAGCAGCCGGCACGCCACCGCTCACAGGGCCACACGCGCAACGCAGACGGGGACTGGTGCATGCCGCCTGCGGCACGGACCAAACGGAACGGAACAGCCGGGACACGCCGCCAGCGCCATGAAAGTAGTATCGGAGTGAAAGCCGGGGATTCCGTCGAAAACGAGCCGCCGCGTGGCAAGATATGCCACGGACAGCAGGAACGGCCAAGCCAGCCAGGCGTGGACGGCGATGTAGCCGCCGCTAGGCGTAAGGACGGCGTCGGTTACAGCTCCGACCCGGGCCGCTCCGTGGTGGCGGTGGGGCATGTCCAGGGAGGGGGGGGGGGGGGAGTGGAGGGCGCCAGGTGTCACCGCCAGCGCCCCGCTGATAGCGCAGCGGCTCTGCGGCCAGAAGGCCGAGTCTACGGTCCTGGCCCAGCCGCTGGTCTGTGGCCCAAAGGCCGAGTCTCGGTACCCCCGACCCGCGCCATGTTGTTAAGACAGCGCATCAAGGTGGTTGCGCGGTGTAGTGGCCTCATATACCCAGCGGGTACGTGCGTCTGTAGGTACAATACGTCTGCGCATTCTGCCGCGCATTGGACGCACGTACAAAACATCTGACCGACGATATAAGGGCACACCGGCAGCAAGTTTCAAGACGTTTCTGCGACATAGGCCGGTAAAAACCCGTTTTTTACACGGTCTTCTCACCGAGGACGTCACGGGTTATCCAACACGAGCCCAAATCTTAGAAACAGTCCATGAAATACCGACATCCAGGACCGCAAGTTGAAAATCAACGGTCAGCCGGCAAACATGGTCACTGCTTTTTAGGACGCCAGAGGTCGTTCGCTACGAGAACACGCCCAAAGGTGTTACAGTAATCTTTGCTTGGTTTTCTGAGACCCTAACGGGGCTGAGGAAACAGTTAGACCTGTTCGGGCATCAATTACCCGGCAGCATAGCGTGCAGCCCCACACAAGCCCACTAACGACGGAAACAGTGTGGCAGCTGAATGCTCGGGTGGTCGATTATATGCCATATAGTGCCGATATGGCTCCCAGTGATTTCTATCTGTTTCCCTAGCCAAAAGAGCATTTTCGGGAGTAAGTTCACTCCGCCCTGAAGAAGAACTGAATCCAACTGTGATGTCTCAACGAGATATTGTGATTGGCAATAATTATAATATTACTAGGCCAAGAATTGCCCCATTATGCCATGTCAAAGGTCGGCTTTCCGAAAAACTCGCACTTTTCAGTTTGACAACCTCATACATACCAGACCATGCCTCGTATCAACACAAAACCTAAACAAGCGCGTTCCCTGTTCATTTCTGAATACAATTATGCATATATTTATGTATTCTGATGATACATTTATGATGTATGGCTACGTTAACGTATAAATGTCGGCCCACCGCGCGCGTTCTGCGGCATCGTTGGTGGCCATCGCCTCCCCCCCGCGCGCCGACCGTAGATAGCCGCGCAGTGTTCGTCAAAAAAAAAACGCCGCTGTTCCGGAACCACAAATGCTCGGGATACGTTTTTGGGGTTAGAACACGCGCAATGGATGACATATAAGATATTGATCATTTGAGCGCAATTACACATGTCGGAGAGGTATCCTAAAAAATTATTAGGGGAAGGGGTCGCATCGATCCTGCACCAAATCAAGTCGAAGGTTCACACTAATTCAGTAGAAATTAGCATTGTCATGTCACCTACACAAAACGTTCCAAAGTCAACGCGACAAAAAGGCTGAAAGTGAACAAGCTCTCTGAAAATCGCTGTATCATTAAAAGTCCAACGGGCACCGCATGTGCTTTATTCATTTCCAGCTATATCTAGAACGGAGCTGAGACCACACAGTACATGCCCCACTTCAGCCATATAGACGGCAACATTTGCAATCTTAAAGATTCATGCCACAGGCAGGCAGGAATCGAAATTGTCCTGATCTATTAACGATGAATAAAGAAACAGTGGCCATTTAGCTATTGATCTGAGTGTCACATCGCCCACTGTGGTGTGGACCGACTAATGATGAGCCTGAAGTCCGGTAATTCAGGAGGGCCAGCAGTAATCAACACTATAGTCTGGCACACGACGCCGCATAACAGCCACCTGCAAAACAGCTGCCAACAAAGCAATACACTTTCTAGAAAACGATGAAAGCCATCACGTATATAGAACACTTTACAAAAGTGTGACATGAAATACTCCAGTTTGTTGATGATTGTCCTTGCACACCCCAACGACCCGAATGGTCCGTCATCCATTAGCAGGTAACCGCGAGTGGGGCACTCGCCGTCACCCATCCATCCGATCCATCCAATCCATCCGACCCGGGTAGTCCGTCATCCATTAGCAGGTAACCGCGAGTGGGGCACTCGCCGTCACCCATCCATCCGATCCATCCAATCCATCCGACCCGGGTAGTCCGTCATCCATTAGCAGGTAACCGCGAGTGGGGCACTCGCCGTCACCCATCCATCCGATCCCTCCAATCCATCCGACCCCATGCATCCAAACGCAGACAGCCATAAGTTGCAGCGATTGAACCAAATCTAAGCATAACGTCTTGGCTAATTATGTGGAAAGTCGCGGCCTACTCCCCTGCTGCATCTCATGTGATTTTCCCTGTCAGGGGTTTTCTGCGCATACTCATTTTCGGCCGTGCTTTGCCCTCAACACGGCCACGGCAGTAGGCCAGCCACATGGGCGCACTTGCACTGCTATGGCATTTCCGTCCATACCGTTACAGTAAAAAACAAGTCACGCAAATCGCAAACTTCAGGTATTCGGGATTCACTGGAGTTGAGTTGAAAAACTGCAGTTGGGATTAGCTTGTCCTACGAAAACTGCAGGCAGACACCTTCCTGGGCTGGCCCAATCCCAAATAATAACCAACGCTGACATATTCAACTGCTGGAAAAACCATCATAAAAGTCGCGGCAACACCTGCTACGAAGACTAACATATGCAAGCATCACGACACAGCACAATAATACTAACATTGGTCAGCTGTCAAACCGATAAAGGTTTAAAATACACACATTGCTGGTGTGAGGGTCACGAAATACATCTGTTTGGTTTGTGGCATATGTTACCCTTTACGATGAATATTACGTCCTTTGCACGTCCCATATTTGCTAGCATCTTGGCATGCTTTCTATGGCACAAAGCCTATGGCACTTTCTATGCCATGACACCAAATTTATTAAGCAAGTTTATTCTGTAATCCCAACTGAGCTGATAGCACCGTCAGCAACGCAGCATCACGGGATATCAGCCCGATTTTGGAGTCAGTTTATTACATATATATATATATATATATATATATATATATAAGCCAGTCACGGAGTACCTCCATTAACAAACAGATATTAAAATAAACGACAGCTTTGAATATGTTTCCGATGCAAACCAGTGTGCTTCATTTTGTTTATACGTGTGTTTGAAGAGGATCTCTCTAACTCATTGTTTGAGTTCATTTGGTTTCCTGTGGCGCATTTTTGTGGCATTTTGTGATGGCGCTGCTCTAAATCTATGCCGATGGCAATTGAAGCACTCACATGACAACTGGATTATAATGTGGAGCGGCGAAACGGACATCGACATACAAAAGATCTATACCCCAATGTGGTAAACGCAGTAAATAAATGGCATACCAGACCCCTGGCGGCGCAAGCTGTGTATGACTGGAACGCCTCACACATGCCATGGTCTACTGGAGTGTGCAAACAGGGCGAAATTGTAGCACCTACACACAGCCCTACTGATCAGAAGTAGGCAACGTCCCTGTGACAGGCGTGGCAGCAGTCATGCCTACTTTCATGGAAATGCGAATTAACGTTGTTAATTGTTGCTCTTTGGAGTTTAGGACACGGCAGCTGGTGAGGGAATATTGTGCCCATGGCTAACCGTCCATATCCGCTTCGATAAATGCAGTCAGCCGAAAATTCAATCATCTACTTTTCCATCCTCGCGGCTATTGTACCACGCATAAGGCTTTTAGTACTGCTTTTATTCATGTGCATAATGCTGATCGCAAATGCACTTAACATTGGCGAATATCCCGCCAATCGGAATCTGCTTGCCCCAGAAGCTTAACGCAAGCGCTACCTCTCGGCATTTTCTATCTTCGTCTCG